GACACAGATCTATAAGGTATGACAGGCTATAACACAGATCTATAAGGTATGACAAGCTGTAACACAGATCTATAAGACTGTCCCTACCTTTACAGGGGGGCTGGGTACTGATACACATGACATGTCTCTACCTTTACATGGGGGCTGGGTACTGTTACACATGACATGTCTCTACTCCTGCTTGTTCCCTATGTATATACAGTATAACAGGAGTAATAGTCCTGCTTGTTCCCTGTGTATATACACGTAGATATGGGCGGGCCTATTACAGGACAATTAGATAACAATTGTTGGTATACCAGTAGTCGTCGAACTACCGTAGATATGGGCGGGCCTATTCCAGGACAATTAGATAACACTTGTTGGAATACCAGTAGTCGTTGAACTACCGTAGATATGGGCGGGCCTATTACAGGATACAGGCTTCTTACTGAATAAATACAATAAATACTTTTAAATTGTAGAATGATCAAACAGGCAGTTGTAGACCCAACATTGTGAAAAAAGAACCTGGTGGTTCCTGGTTACCGAAATGACAAATTCCTATTAGTGTACATGAGTTTGATCATAAAGAATGCTGAACTAAATTGACATCAATCTGGCTTTTATCTGTAGTTTCAGCATGTTCAATGTCTCCAACCACACTGAGAATGTTTGATAAGTAAATACTTATTTCAGTATCAAAATATATGTAGCAGTAATCCTTTAAGTTTAGTATGACTAACTTTATCAACATATTAATGCCAACAGACAAACCCAAGGACCCCAAGAAAGACTCCTTTGCTGAGAAGATGGCGACCCAGATTATAAAGAATCTCCAAGTACATGTTAAAAATATCCATGTTCGTTATGAGGACTCGTACACCAACCCGAAACGTCCGTTTTCGATTGGAATCACACTTCAGGAACTTCTGTTCCAGGTAAGGAATGGGATAAATAGAATCTATGACTTCTGTGTGACAGATAAACCTGTTGGTACGGTAACAGAGGTTCTGCACACCGCTTGTTTTTGCCAAATGAGGTTACTGTGTTAATTTTGACTTCTCCCGATCCCCCTGATAGAATTCTGTACGACATATTGTAAAGCTTAAAAAATAGATACATGGTATGCCACAATATTTAGTGTAGTATTTGTGATTCTAACTTCTGATTGGTTGAAGTTGCTCAGGGACTCAATTACAGTGCAGTGTTGTTTTTTTGTGCCAAGATTTTCAGGTACAGATATTATAAAATATTAATGTATGAAATGCTTCCAGGATTTATGTAAAGTGCAAACAGTTATTTTGGTATATACAGTATAACAAGAGTAATAGTCCTGCTTGTTCCCTATGTATATACAGTATAACAGGAGTAATAATCCTGATTGTTCCCTATGTATATACAGTATAACAGGAGTAATAGTCCTGCTTGTTCCCTATGTATATACAGTATAACAGGAGTTATAGTCGTGCTTGTTCCCTATGTATATACAGTATAACAGGAGTAATAGTCCTGCTTGTTCCCTATGTATATACAGTATAACAG